GGGTTGCTGCTTCAGGGCTGTTTCCTGCTTGCCCCTGTCCTGTGTGCTTCACTTTGGACCTGCCACAACACAGCGATGCTCTGGATGCAGCAGTGGCACCTTCTAGTCTCTGTCAGCATTGTGTTTGGGGGCACACATCTTCCTCATGAATGACAGTGGGGCTGCAGGGGGTCACACACAGGTAAAAACCAGTTTCACCCCATTGGCTCCCACCTTTCCCTGTCCCAGCTCCATAAAGCTGCCTGGAGCCTCTTGCTGTAAAGATGCTTCTCTTGCTGGGAGGGATTATGTTATGAAGAGGGGCCGGGGGTAGGTGATGGGCTGTGACAAGCAGCTTCAGTGAGAACTGATTATAGCTGCTTATCTCGAAGGGTATCTGGGTCTGCAGGGGTTTATGTGGGTCTCTCAGGCTGCCTTCGTTCCTATGTGCATGCATAGCACATCACAAGGCTCGTGGCGTGGCATGCAGTTTATCAATGGCCTTCTAAACTCCATGCAATACCAGGCTCCAGTTTTGCAAGAGCAAATGTGGCACCTGGGCCATGGCCATCGACCTGTCCTTGCACATGGCACTGATAAGGACACGACATGCATGGAAAATTCCATTGCCACGGGTGCCATCCCCTCACCATGGGTGCAAGAAGTGGGATGAAGGGGCTGTAGCATCTCCGGCATGGCCAGAAGCCCTCGGGCAGCACAGAGAGATGGGCACAGGGGGGTCAAGGTGCCAAAGAGGGTTTGCAGCATGAACTGGTTTTAGATGTATCTAAGTCCAGAAGTTTCTTACCTATTCTTCTGTTATTTCACATGGTTTGGAAGCCTCTGGATGAAAATTAAACGTTACCAAAGCCCTTTAGGAGTTGGGTTTCCCATCCACCCCTAAGAAATACTCTCTAAAGTGTAGAAACCATCAATAGCCTTAAGCTTTCCGTTTGTTGGGTTTAATTTTTCTATTGTTTCTATTGAATTCTGAAGTCTCACTTACAGAGCTGAACCCAGAGCAGTGCTGGAGACCGGAGCATCCAGAGCACCCACCCCGCAGCCTGTATCCCACATCATGTGTGGAGCTGTGTGTGAACCCCATTCTGATACAGCTGTGTTGGGGTTTGGGGTTTCAGCATCAGTGGGGTTTGCTTTTTCCCCTGGTGCTTCTTATGGATGCTTTTCATGGATGTATCCCCGTGCTCTCACGGGGATGAGCAGCAGGGTGCAGCACTCCTTCCTGCAGTGGCATCACCCACTGCTGTCATTATAGCACCAAATACTGTGGGATAGGGATAAAACCGCTCATCCTGGCCCCGAGCATCCTCCTGCCTGCATCCCCGCTCTGTTTTGACACTATGATACACAGAGGCAAGGACAGCCCCATATGTTATTTATAAGCAGCCATTTTTCCTGCCCTGATCCATTGGCTATTTCCAGCCTGGGAGCGGAGTGATGCTGTGCCAGAAGCGAACGTCACAGGAGCTGGTTCACCCCGGGTACAGCATGTGAAGAGCTGACACCGGCCTTCCCTCATGTGGAAACGAGCCACCCGGCCTTGAGAAAACGCTGTTGTCACATCCAGGGGCTGAGTGCCAGGCAGGATGCGGCCCCTGCTTGAAGATGGGCAGAGGTGGATTTGCCGTGTGGGGCTGCCCATGCACACGCCGGCAGCGTGGCTGCGCTGGTGTCTTCTCATTGGGGATGCTTTCTGATGTGGTTTGAATGCGGGATGAGGGAGGAGTTAGCATCCTCCCGTGCTGGATCGGTGGCTGAATCCCGCTGAAGCCATCCCTAATGGCCACGGGGGGCTGTCCCCATCACCGCAGCCTCATCATCCCCTTCCGAATGAGCTCTGCCTTAGGAGAGGACCACGTCGGAGCCTCCCTGGGTGAGCGGGCAGGAGCCGTCACCTCCCTCCCAGCCTAAACTCATTCCTGGCTGCTTTCTATAAATGTCTCTCTGTGTCAATGCTGTTCTTCAGCTCCACTTTGTTTTGCTTCTCTCCATGGTGTTTACTCAGGCCCCGGGTGTATTTATAGCTGGCAACAGATCATCTGATAGCTCCTTTGCTCCTTCTAGGAGAGGAAAACCAACCTCCCCCCATGCTCTCCCTGTACCAAACGGTTCCCGTGTCCCCAGACAGCCCCTGTGCCCTCCTCGTGCTCCTTCCCAACACCGTTCATGTTTCTTGGATGCAGATCTGGGTCCTGAGGTCTCCCCCCTCCTTGCCCATCCCAATGCCCAGCTCCAGGCTCCTTGTTTCCTTTGGGCTTTGTTTTTGTTTGTTTCTTTGCTTTGGCTTAAATCCACTCCCCAGCCATTGCGAGGCTCTGAGCCTCGTCCCACAGCCAAGCCGGAGGAGTTCCCTCTTCCCACCCGGCCCCTGCCTGCCCCTTCCTCAGGGATGCAGCAGCGGGACCGTGTCCGGTATCCGTCTGGGAGATGTTTACCTGCCACAGGCACCGTTTCCACCTCCTTTGGCTGGGAAAACATCCCTTCGCGTGATTTCCAGGGATATTTGTCCACCTCCTCTGGCCCGGGGCCCGGCTCATGAGTGATGGGTTTATGGCAGGACTGGAAATCCCGCAAAGGAATGCTCAGGGGAATGATGTGGTGTAAGGAGAAGGCAGGGCTCTGAGCTCGGATGCAAACTGCTCTCACACTGCAGCCATCTGATTTATTTAATGGAATAACTGGTGCTGGGGGGGTCCAGCCTCGTTACCCCCAACCCCGGTCAGCCCCGGGCTGGGTGCTGGGTCCCAAAACCGGCTTTTAGCGGGGGGGGGTCAGGGTGCCTGTAACCGCTGCGGATGAGACAGCAGCGGGTGCTGCTGCTACCGGAATAGCTCCGTGCGCTCCGTACGAGCAGGAGCCGGTCGAGACCGGCAAGAGCCGGTACCAAAGCCCGCAGGGACCTCCCCGCCGAGCCGGGAGGCGGAGATGGGCGGGCGGTGGGGCTCCAGCCCATCCCGCTCCACCGTCACCTCCCGTTTTGCCCCGTTTCCCCCCGGTTTTAAGCCAAAGCTCCGCTCCCCCCCCCAGGGGTTTCTGTCCCGGCGGTGCTCGGGTGTCGGGAACAACGGGTACAACGTTCGGGTGTGTGTGGATGTGCTGGGAGAGGCCGGGGGCAGCGAGGGAAGGGGATACCGGATGGTTATAGGGCGGTAGCGGATGATTATAGGGGGATACCGACGGGTAACGGGGGGGTTATGGGGAGGATATAGAGGGTTCTAGGGGGGTATTGGAGGGGTCTATGGGGGGGGTATGAAGGGCTATAGAGGGGTATCGGAAGGCTATAGGGGGGATATGGAGGGTTATAGGGGGGTATGAAGGGCGATAGGGGGGTACCGGAAGGTTATAGGGGGTATATGGAGGGTTATATGGGGGTATGAAGGGCTATAGGGGGGATATGGAGCGTTATAGGGGGGTATTGGAGGGTTATATGGGGGTATGAAGGGCTATAGGGGGGATATGGAGGGTTATAGGGGGGTACCGGGATGCTATAGGGGGTACCGGGGGGCGCGCCACTGGCACGGGGCAGCAGCGGCGCGCTCAGCCATTGGCTGGCCGCCGACCAATCAGCGGCGGTGCCTGTTTGCTCCGCAGGACGGATAAAAAGCCCGGGGTGGGACCGCGGCGGCGCGGAGCGGAGCCGGGGGGCGGCTGAGGGTGAGCGGCTCCTATGGGGCTCCTATGGGGGGGCTGCATGGGGAGGGGGGTGTGGGGGTTGATGGGGGGGGAACGCGGTGTTTTGGGGTGCAAAGGGGGCGTGCGCGGGTGGGAATGGCGTGAACCGGAGGAGGAGCGGGTGGATGGGGACGGGGCGGGCGCATGGGAGCGATCGGTGGGTTGGGAGCGGGGTGAATTGGGGGGGGGGGGTATGGGATGCAGCAGGGTTCGTTTGGGAGAGTGGGGGGGTATGGGGTGACTGGGGGAGAAGATGGGGTTTGGGTGCCCAGGGGGGAGATGTGGGGCTGGGGATGGGGATATAGGAGCAATGGTGAGGAAGAGGAGGAAATGAGCCGGGGGGGGGGGTGTGTTTCTGCACCGGCCTTTATGTCTGGAGGGGAACCCTATGTCCTCCCCTACCCAAAGCAACCAGGGCTGGGGCCTCTGTGCTGTGGAAAGCCCTGAGGAGCTGCCTTAGGCTGTGTAGGACCAGTTGGGTTTCCCCATAGTGCATGACTGGGGTGTGCTGTGGGCTGGGGAAAGGCTCAGCTTGTCTAAAATGGCCACTTGCCTCCTGGCCCTGGGGCTGCTGCATCTTGATGCTCTCCAGAGCAGCCCCTGGTCTGGTCCTGAATCATCCTTATGGGCCCTAGGAACTGGGGCTGGGAGCTGGGGATGGTTCATCCCACGGCAGCAGCCATAGGGCATGGCAGTGTGCCGAGGTGGAGCAGCTGGGATGGGGCAGGACGTTGCCCCCTTGTCCCCCTGGATGGGTGGTCAGGTAGTTAGCAAAAAGGGCTGTCTGTCTGTACAGTATATGCATAATCCTATGTATAAACTGCATGTATAGGACCGATAGTACAGGGTTAGTGGCAGTCCTGGGGTGACCATAGAGCCATAGAATGGTTTGGGTTGGAAGGGACCTTAAAGCCCATCCAGCTCCAACCCCTTCCACTGGAGCAGCTTGCTCCAAGCCCCTGTGTTCAGAACACTGCCAGGGATGGGGCAGCCACTGTAATGCTGGACTTGATCTTAAAGGTGTTTTCCAACCTGGTTGGTTCTGATCCTATGTAGGACCCCATGCTCACCTTGCAGAGCAGCTCTGTGCTCCTGCATGGGGCAGAGCAGACCTAGTGGGTCACTAAAGTGCTCTGGGGATCCCAGCCTCTCCCTTAAGCAGACAAGAGATTGAAGCCCCTTGCTCTGGCATCGATTCATTGATGCCTTACAATGCAGGCAATGGGCAGTGGGCTCCAGGCAGTTGATCCTTGCTCCATTTCCATACCTGGTGTTCAGGAGGTGGAACGGAGTCCTTGAAGGCACCTCTGTCACACTGTGTGCACCAGAGGGGCTGCTCCAAGGGCATCGGTGCTCCTGCATCCCTCCAGGTAACTTGGCAGGCTGGTACCTGCAAGAACAAGTTTGACACCCGAGTACCTTGCATTCACAGGCAGGTTTGCTTGTGTTCCACTGGGGAGATCTCTTAAACCGGGCTGGTTTGCACTCTTTGAGCAGTATATGATGGGTGTTGTTCTGGTCCCTGCAGGTTAAGACTGATCGAGGCCATCATCCCACCCAACCATGGCACCCACACTGGCTACCGCCCATCGCCGGCGCTGGTGGATGGCATCCACAGCCATCATTGAGAGCCTGCTCTTCTCTGCTGTCCTGCTGGGCTGGGGCTCCCTCCTCATCATGCTGAAAGCAGAAGGGTTTTATTCCTACCTGTGCTACGAGTCGGGTAAGGATGCTCTGGAGACTCGGTGCTGATGCGGTTTGGTGCTGGGGGATTGACTGGAGCAGGGCTGAGCTCCAGGTTTGCCCTGGGCCAGAAGGAAGGGATGCGTGCTGCTTTCTAAAGCCAACGGCATCCTTGTGATGTGCCTGTAGTTGCTGTTGCTTTGCAGAGTGATTGGAAAAGAAGGCTTATAGATCAGGTAAAGGGTTTTCTGACAGCCTTTTCCACTTGGCCATGGGGTCTTCCTCTGCATCTGGAAGGTGATGGCTTGTGGGGAGGGTGTTCTGAGTTTGTAGAAGGAACCTATAGGTGTTCTCTCCTTAGTGGTAGGAAAAGAGCATGGGTGACCATAGGATTAGGAGAGCCCAGTGCTGCTGCTTGAGGAGATGCTGTGGAAGTAAATGCTGCTGATGCTTTGTTCCTTTCCCTCTTCAAACACCCAGAACGTGCTTAAACCAGGTTGTGTCTCTGAGGGCTTGAGATCCACCTTCTGGCCCCAGCAGAGGAAGCAGTTGTCTGTGTAGCAGCCACATCCTTGCAGGGAAGGAGGCGATCCTGTGGTGTGGGAAGGATAACCCTGGGAACACCGGCGTGTAGGTGGATGGGTATCCCAGCCGGAGCAGGGAGAGGATTGTGGTCCACAGTGGGGTTAAAAGCAACCTGAGGGTAAAGGTGTGGTGTGGGTTTGGGAAGCTGCTTCGGTGACAAAAGGTTTCCATGTGCTCAGGGAAGGGAATAGCGAAGAGAAGGGAGGCAGGGGGTAGGTGTTTGGGCTGTGTGATGGTGGATCAGCCCATGGTGAGCGTGGGGATGGAGGAGGAAGCGTAAGGGGAAGAAAAAGGGGTTGGAAATAAGTGCATGGACCCTCAGTGGTCAATGGCTGAGGATGGAGGGGGAAGTGTGAAACACAGTGAGAGGCTGGTGCACTGGGTAGACATGGAAGTGCTCGGGTCCTCCACCAGCTTGGCTGCTTGATCTCCATGCTATGCTCTGCTCACAGTGTGCACATGCCCCTGGGGTGGTGAGGAGGAGTCCTCAACACTGGAGACTGTTTGGTAGGGTTTGTTATCTCCAAGCCATGGTGACTGTGTCAGGAGCCTGTGGAAGAGATCCCATTAAACCTATCAGGTGGAGGCTTTCTGCCACCCAGATAAGGCACACAAGGCTTGATAAGCAAATGCTGACTGTCTCCTAAAGCAGCCCTTTTCCTATCTGCTTCCCGAGACCAGCCCTGCTTCCCTTGGGGCCCACCTCCTACCCTTTGCTTTGATGGCTTTCAACTCTATCTGCCCCAAATCAAGATTCACCTCTACTCCTCACCCCTCTTTGCCAATGGCTCTCCCCATGGGAGTGCTGCAGAACCACAGGGATAATGCAGATGGTGAAACTGCAGCCCTGGGGGGGCAATCCCTTCCTCCCAGGGATCAAACTGTGCCCTAAGGCAAGAGAACTGAGTCCCTGGAGAGAAACTGATGCAGCCAAATGTTCTCATTGTCCTCAAGTATGTGGGCATCACTGAACCCAGGGGAGGCCGGGGATGAGCACGGAGGACCAGTTACACCGGTTTCCTCCTTTATCCCTACTTACTCACTTCCCTTCCTCTGTTTTTTTTGTCCTCCATGTCATAAACTCAGTGATTTGGTTGGGAAGAGCCCTGGCTCCATGCATGGGGAATGCAGCCGCCCTGCAGTGCTCATGGAAGGACCAGCACCAAGCTGAATCCCACCTTGGCTGGGATGAGCGGTTGCATTGCTTAGTATAATGCATGGAATCCCGCAGCAAACCCATTATAACCGGTTGCCTTTGGGCACTTGTTGCTGATCCTGTTTGCATGCAAGAACTGCAACAAGAAGAAGAAGAAAAGGGACTTTTCCTATTGAGCCAAAGGTTCTTGGCAGGGCTTTCCATTCGTCAGCAAAAGCTCTTGCACTTTGTGATGCCTTCCAGTGAAACGCAGACCTTGTCCCTTCTGCAGGCTCCTCTATGAAGGTGGCAGAAAGGCTGCAATCCATGAAGGGCTCCTTGTTTTCCTGTTGCAGCTCCCCTTTTCCCTGCCTGCCCTTGGCTCCTGTTGGGCTTCACTCAGCCAATGTGCAAACACGTGGGGTCTGCCAAGCTCTTCACTCTGTTGTGAGATGGAAATGCACATCCAGACACCACATCCCCTTAAAGCAGTTGTGCCTGGGGGGGTTGTCCCTGCTCCCATGGCAGGTTTGACCACATCCCATCCCAAGAGGTATGCTTGAAATCTGCTGACAAAGAGGCTGCCCATGGCACTTTGTTCCCCTTTTAACTTTACTACGCTAGGGCTTGGCCTTTAAACCGCCTGAAGCAGCATCTTTCCCTTGGTGGAAGCGCTGATTCCGCAGTCTTTATCGGGATTTGGGCCTTATCGGCTGCTGGGGAGCTTGATCTGGTCGTGGCTTTGGGATGTTCCTGGGATTAAGGGGCTCAAGGCTTGGGTTTGAGACGTTTAAAAGAAAAAGCAATCTTGAACGTGCTCACAGAGAGCAGAGATAAGGAGCTGCCTGAACAGAGGGCCTTCCTCTAAGACTGGGCTGCAGGAAACCCAAGGGGTGATAAGCTAATTCACTTAGAGCAGGGCAATGTGCCTGAACATGGGCATAGGTGCTGCCTTACAGCTCCTTGCTGCTCTGGATGTGCTCTGTGGCGGGGAACTCGGGGTCTGAAGGTCCCTTCCAAGCTGTGAAGATGCAGGGGCAGGCCCTGTCAACAGGAAAAGAGTGAAGGTGGTAGATGCTCCTTGCACAGGAAACACACTGCATTGAGCAGCAGCTTTCGGTGCTCTTGAAGCTGCAAAACGAAACCACAGCTGGGGAGAGAATGAGAGTTTAACCGAGTTAAGCTCTGTTCTAGAGGCTTGCACCTGGGTGCAAAGAGAGGGGCATTCAGGAGGTGCTGGGCAGGGAGAGACACCCCAATACATCACATTTGCAGTGGTACAAAGCAAGAACATCTCCTCCCAGTTCCCAGAAGTGTGACACCATCCCGAGAGGGGAAAACATGTTCCATTGTGGGCAGGCTGCTGAGCAGTTGGTCTGCACACGTCCTTCACTGGGACTTCATTTCAACCAGTGCTCCCAGTCTGTTTGGCCCTGATTTATTTCTCTGCCCTCTTTAACAGTCAAAGGGGGAGGTTGAGGCTGTGCCCCACGGTCCTCCCTGCTTGTTTCCATGTGATCCATGGGGCGAGATGAAAGGAAGCCTCCTCTCTGTTATGTTGGAAAGAGCCAGGCTCATTCCTCTGCTGTGTGTGCTTGGGATTGGAAGAGGTCGGTAAAGAGCAGTTAATGATTGACCCTCTTATGGAACCTAGGGCACTTAATTTGGGGAGAAAGGATGACTTTAAATGTTCCAGCAAGAGGCTGAACAAATCCCAGCGACGAGCTTGACATAAAAGATTACCAAGGCAGCCGAAGCTGTCATTCTTTAAATAGTAACTTGAACTCCTAATTGGGCAGTAGAAATCCTGCTGCTTGGAGGGGGGGAAGCAGTGCAAAACCAGCCAGGATGTTCCTGTAATCGCCGATAAAGACTTGGAGCTGCCTCCAGCTTCAGGCAGGCAGCAGTGAACACGCATGGGTGGCTGTGCTGCGTGTCAGCCCCGGCACACGTGCACGCAGGTGGACTTGGCAAGAGGCTTTGGGGATGGCATCACTGTCAGCGCAGAGACAGCCCTTCCCCAAGGCGCTGATGCTGATGGAGCTGGGCACGTAGGAGTGCACTGCTCTGGAGCAGCATCTGAGTGCTGTTTGCTGTGCCCAAGTGCGTTAGGGAGGTGAGCAGTTAGGCAGGTTCTCTGCCCATTAATCCCCTCCTAGGTGCATGCTGTGTGCTGCTTGCTGACCTCTGTGCTCTGCAGTGGGGTGGCTCTTGGCTGGCCCTGGTGCCTGCTCCCACAGCCCCTCCGATGTGTTTCTATTTGTGGAGATGGATCAGGGGGTATCAGGGTGCCAAGGGCTGCTTGAATGGGTTCCATGACATCCCACTGGATCTTGCCCTTGTTGCTCAGGGGCTGCTTCTATTTTCACAAGCCATTTGTGTTCCCACACAGCACGGTGGCCTGGCCTCTCCTCGGAGCTGGCTGTGAACAAGGTGCTCGGTACAAGCAGGAGCTGCAATCCGGGGCCCTGTTCCCAGTTTTCCTGGCTGCAGGAAGCCCTGAGTCCCCCTCACTGTGTCCTCTTTGCCTCCTGGTGCTGCTGCTCATCGTGCGTGCCACGGGAGGGTCTGCAGCAGGGGGATGCTGTGGGAGCTCCCCAGGGTCATGTTGTAACTATAGACATCAATACATGGACAAGAGGCTTTAAATGCTGACTGCTTCTGCTCTGGGTCTCTATGGGGAGGGCTGATGGGCTCCTTAACACACACAGCCAGAAGCTAAAGGTCACTGCACTGTCCACATCCCTTCACCCTTCTTCCACTCCGCAGCTGAGTGCTGACACAGGGAAACCACAACTCCTTTGTCACTGTTCCCCCCCCCAACTCCTTGTTTTCCCAAGTTTAACCTCTCTCCCACATCTGTTTCCTATGGATTTTATCTGTGTGGGGAGCCCAAGCAGCCTGGATGCTGTGGGCGAAGCTGTGAGCCTGTGCTTGCCTCCTGGAGATCAGTGTTTAATCCCAAGTTGGTGGTTAAGATCCTGGGCAGCACCAAGAGGAGTGAGGGAAAGCTGGATGAAACGGATGGAGATGGAGTGGGAAAGCTGCAGAGAGCCTCCCATGGCTGCCCAGGGCTGGGTGGTGAGGATGTGAGGTGGGAACCTCAGGCTGGAGTTCTGGGATGCTGAGGGAACATGTGGGCTATCTGTTGCTGACTCTGGACAGGGCAAGGGGATCATGGAATGGGTTGGGTTGGAAAGGACCTTAAAGCTCATCCCATTCCAACCCCCTGCCATGGGCAGGGGACACCTTCCACTGGAGCAGCTTGCTCCAAGCCATGTCAATGGAGAGAAATGCCCTGTGCCTTCCCTGCAGGGCTGGGAGGGGACAGAGGGAGGTTTGCAGGAATTCCTGCTAATCCCTGATGGAAGGAAGGTGGAGCTGGGTTTGTTTGCAATGGACACAAAGCTGGGAGGGTTCTTTGGAGCAGCTGGGAGAGCCAAGGTGGAACCAGTGCTGTGTGATGGCAAGGATGGGGTAGAAGGGAAGGAGGTGCAGATGGGGGGAGCATGAGCAGCCAAGGGGATCTCCTCCACAGATGCACCAAGCAGTGAACATGAAACCACTTGTACACTGGGGATTCCTACTTGGTTAACACTAAGCAGGGCTCACTGGGATTCTCTGGTGCTGCTCCATGCAGATGTAAGCGACTTCTCTCTATTCCTCCTTTAATATGGAACTCCATCCGATCAATTATTAAGTATGGAGGAGTTCTACGTTGCTGCCTTGTGGCAGCAGTAAGAAAGCAAGTGCTTTGTCATAGCAGCACAGGCTCCAAAGGCAGATAAGCACTGGGAGGAGGAGAGGTGGAGTGCAATGGGGTTAATGAAAGCCTAAAGGCGCATGTGCTCCTGTAGGGTTGTAAAGCACCTTGGGACAGGCTTGTAACAGGAGGCACTAAAACTGCTGCTGCAAAGAAAAGGGAACTTGGGCTTTCTTCCTCTGTTTTTAAACTGTCCCGTTACACAACGTGGCTCTGTCAGTATGGGAGGGCAAGAACTGAAAGCTGGAGCTGGAATTGAGCCGTATGGCTTAAACCCACTGGGAAAGGATGGGAAATGGGGCAGGAGTTAAAGATGCCTGAGTCGTGTGATGAACAGAAGGCAGGTGAGCTGCCAGCCCTCCTGGGAGCAGGGTATGAAGGCCAGGAAGGAGGTTTCAGAGCTAGAGCAGTCGGGAAGCAGGGTGACTGCTGCAGATCCATCCCTCATCCCCATGCCTGCAGTGAGGGTAGGAAGCTTTTCATTTGAGCAGGCTGTTGCTCTGTGCCAGGCCTTGTCAGCTCAGTGTCTGGCTATATATAACTGCCTTAGCTGTGGGTATTGTGCCTGGTTTAGTTAGGGGAGGGAGCTCGGAGAACATGCTGGGTGTAGAACAGGAGGTCCTTGTTTCTGTGTTAGTCCCTTTGGGTTCTGGGTTTAGTCCCTGTAGTTGTTCTCATAGTGAATCTCTGTCCTTAGGTTGTCACCTTGTTGTTGCTTGGGATATGTGTCCCCTGGGTGTGCTTTTCCTGCTCCCTGCTGCTCTTTCCCTTCTCCATTTCTCACCAGTTATAATAAATATGGAGTGCAAAGGGTGTCTTCCCAGGGTGTTGTGGCACCTGAATACGGAGTCATTCTCCTTCCTGCATCACTGCAAGCCTCATCCTAACCCACTGTAACAAGGATCCTCTGTTATCCCATGCAGCAAACACCACCAGCAGCCCTGACCGGGAGAACAGCACGGATTCAGAGCCCAAATGGCCCTCCTGCAATGCCCAGGATGAGATGCTCAACTTGGCCTTCACCATTGGGTCCTTCCTGCTCAGTGCGATCACGCTCCCACTGGGAATTGTCATGGATAAGTATGGACCTCGCAAGCTCCGGCTGCTCGGCAGGTCGGTGGCCTGGGCTCCCCAATGGGGTGAATGCATGCATTGGATGGGGTTGGTGGGTGCTGTGCCTGTTGTGGTCCCTGCATCCCAAGGGATGGGGCTGGGAGCTGCTGGCCATGCGCAGGACACTGGGTTTTGGCCGGTACAGTGAGCTGCTCCATCAGGATAGGGCTCAGGACTGTGTGTCCCCAGTTCAGCTCTGCAGGGTTGCTCTGTGTTCCCCAGCCATAAGGAGCCTGGAGGAAGAGCGGAGTCACTTGTGACTCACAGAGGGTGGCTTCTTCCTTGAGCTGGGAGCTATGTCCTGAGAGGCACCAAACCAAGACGTGACCTCACTGCTTGCGAGCCGGGGAGTTGGCTTAGGGATAAACATGTCCTGCCTGTCTGCTCGAGGCCTTCTCTGCCTTGTTTTCTGCCTCAAATAGCAAAGCTGCTGGCTGTTTCCATGGTGGGGAGGGATTAGGGACTTGCTGGGCACAGGGGACCCCAGCGCTGCTGAGTTTGAATGCACTAAAACCCTACCAGAAGCTGAGCTGGTGTGGAGGGCAAGCCTCTGATTCAGGGCTTAGAATCATAGAATCAGACTGGTTTGGTTTGGAAAGGACCTGAAGATCATCCAGTTCCAACCCCCTGCGGTGGGCAGGGACACCTCACACTAAACCATGGCACCCAAGGCTCTGTCCAACCTGGCCTTGAACACCGCCAGGGATGGAGCATTCACAACCTCCCTGGGCAACCCATTCCAGAGCCTCACCACCCTAACAGGGATGAATTTCCTCCTTATATCCAATCTAAACTTCCCCTGTTCCAGTTTTAACCCTTACCAAACAGAGCTGGTGAATAGGTTCCAAGTGCTGTGACCACAACGGGGTCTCAGGACCAAGGTCTTTGGTCACCTCTTGGTGAGGGCTGGCAAAGCTGTATGCTGGAAAACCAGTGGGGAATTTGGGTCCAGCAAGAGCTGTCTCAATACTGGGAGGAGAGGCTGCTTCCTTGTGCAAGGTTTGCCTGTGATATCTGGGTATTCCCTTGGGGTTTTCTTCCCTTCCTGTTACAGGAATTACTCTGTGCCTTGCTTAAGGTGCTTAGGAGGTAGAATTTACCTATTTATCATTTACTGTGTATAAGGCTGGCTATAAGAAACTCATGGGTTTGGTTCCCTTTCAGTGCCTGCTTTGCTGTGTCCTGTGTGCTGATCGCCTATGGAGCCAGTAACCCCGACAGTAAGTAGGAATTCCCCCCTAAGCTGGGGGCAATGTGGGGCTGTGCCTTTGGGGTTGTCTAGAGGGGGAAGCAGAGGGCACACATGGCACTGTGTGCTCCCACTGGCACATCCCCAGTGCTGCAATGGGGTCCTGCTGAGGACACGGCAGAGCGTCTGCTGCCCCGTGGGAGCTGAGTGCCTCTGGTGTTTCACAATGCTCAACAGAGAGTGTAGCAAGGGCCAAGTGTCTGCGATAGCCAGGCCTCAGCAATGCGTTGGGGCAGGGCTGGGTCCTGTGAAAAGAGCAGTTCCAAACCAGTTCATGGCTTTCTCAGGGTTGGGAAATAACTAATGGTAATGGGGAATAGGGATGTGGAATCGGCTTTCTGGCCAGGGATGGAGGGAGCCTTTGCTCCCCAGGACCAGATAGCGAGATGGCTGTTTGAATTGCAGTTCTTTCATGGAAATCTTCCTTTTAAGACCCATTAAGACAAGCTGCATCAGCAAGTGTGTTCATTAGGGAAACCAAACCCTTCCATCCTGGAGGGATGAGCCCATCCTGAGCTCTCTCTTGGAGGAGATCCCTGGCCCTCCTCTGCACGGCTGGGGAGATGGTGCTGGGTGAGGAGCACTGTGGCACATCCTGAGGTTTTTATGGGTCAGGACCAAAGCCCTCAAGGGCTCTCCTCTTCCTCTTCACCCCAGTGAAAGCTAAAGGTGGCTTTTTACTGTTGCAGCTCTGTCTGTGCTGATATTCATTGCGCTGGCTCTGAATGGCTTTGGGGGGATGTGTATGACCTTCACATCGCTGACGGTAAGTGAAGAGCTATTACCTGCCTCTATTCTGTTCCTTACTATGGCTGTGAGCTGGGCTAGCAGGGAAGAACAAAGTGGATTGCTTGCCCGTGGCTTGACTAGCATGTGATTTTGTCTGGTACAAAGGGTCAGTCCCTCCTACCTGTGAGGCTGAGTGGTTATTCTAAGGCTTCTTTTTCACCCAGTCCATCTCAGGTGAAGGCATGGGGAAAGAAAAGGAAGTGGTGGTATCCATTGTCACGTACCTATACATGCAGTGCTCAGCTACCTGGCACAGCCTGGACGTGTGTTTGCACTGGATTCGGCTCAGCAGGGCACAACCCCTTGCAAGCACAGTTTGCATCTCAGCCCTGGGAAATGGTTGTTCTCGAGCACAAAAGCTTTTGCTCTCAAGCAGGGTGAGATTCCCTTCCAGGTTTCCTTGGAAATGCTGCCTTGTTGAATGCACCCAGCTCCGCTTGGACCCCTTTAGTCCATGGATTGCATTGCAAACATTGGTCAACCCCTGTCAGCTGGATCTCTGTTTTGGAGCTCTTTCTGCTCAGAGACAGAGGCATCATTGTCCTTCAAGCAGCTGCTTCATTTTCTACCTCATTACCCTGATCCTTGTCAGTGTGGATGGAACGGGGCTGGGTGGGAAGCCTCCCAAAGCACTGATGCTTCTTGAGCTGCCACTGAAACCGTTCAGGTTTGGATGGCGTTACCTTGAGCTTGCTATTGAAATGAAACCTTCTGTTAAGGTTACCTTGAATTCAACAGGGCTCAGACACTGCCTGAGCTCCTGAGACCTGGGTTTGGCAGAGGTTGGGTTTACAGATCACTATATACTGAGGCTGCTGTTGCCTTCATAGACTCCAAGCTTCCGAAGCTCCATGCAGAGGTCAGGCTTTGCTCTGCATGTGGTGTTCTTCACTGGAAGCCTTGGCCGTGCTCCTAAGAACTAGGGGGCAAACGTCATCCTGCCACGCTTCCAATGGGAGCAAGGAGAGGAGCACATCAGAGGAGAGGATTCCCCACCCTGCTGCTGTTGTCTCTCTGAGTGGTTATTAAAGGGTCATGGGTTATTTTAGAGCCACTGGTGATGAGAGGAGGAAGGGCAAGGGCTGAGATGTATTGGATGTGCTCTACTGTGGCTTTTAGCACCGGGAGCAGTAAGCAAAGCCAGTTACTTATTAGCTCTGTCATTAGTGAGCCTGTTCCACAGCACTAAGGAAGTACAGCAGCAGGAAAAAGGTGACATCTTCCAAGAGGAGCTGCAACCCTTGAGGAGGTCTGGGGCAAGCAGTGATGCTGTGAGTCCCTGCAGGGAGAACGCAGGTGGAGCCCGTGCCCTCTGGGCAACAGCAGTGTGTTTTGTAAAGAGCTGAGGTGGCTTCAGGCCTGGCTCCTCGCATCCAGATGTAACTGCCTTTTGGTTCCTGAGGCATGTGAATGTGATTATAAATAGCTTCAAGTGGGAGGGGAGCACTTCTTCCCCCACATCATAACGGAGCTGTGGTGGTGGCTGTTAAATGCAGGTGTATTTTGCTCACTGTCAGCTTCCTGTTTTGTCCCTGTGTGGTTCTACCTGCAAGCGGGGATGCTTATGATGCCTGCATGACGTGGGGATCTCCTGTGGGTCCATTGCACACGTGGACAGGAGCATGGCAGGGGCATGGGGATGATGCTGTACCAAGGGAAGGCTGAAGCCAGCACTGAAAGAGGAGCCTCAGAGACCTTTGTAAGGACCTTCGTTCTATGGAGGCAGCGAGCACTGGGCAGCTCGTGGTGCCAAGTGAGCTTGTTCTGGCTGCCACAGGCACTGGCTGCCAAGCACCCACAGGAGTCAAAGCAAGGTGACTTCCTTCTCCTGCCTGCCATGAGTGTCCTGACGTGCTCCAGGAAATGGGACAATCCCACTGATGAGTGAGCTGCTGCTCTGCCACCCCAGGCGGGAGTCGGGATGCTCCCCGGGATACCCGCGTGCATGGGCATGGTGCATCTGATGGCAGGGCAGGAGATCCCCAATGCCTGTAAAAGGGATAAACGGGATCTTTAAGGGATGCTGGGACAGTATTCCCCTCTGTCTTTTGGGTTCAAAGCCTTTCTCAGTAACAGGTCCCCTGGGTATCATGTAAGCACACGCAGAGCCAAAGCAAGCTGCTGTTTCTGGGTACCCTGTGCTGTGGCTTGGGGAGGAGGGAGAGCCAGGGAGCGGCGGTGTTCCTGCTTCTGGGAACAAGGTCAGGCTGTGCCTGTTGTTCACATGCAGAAGGGAGATTTCTGCCTCGTGACTCGGTCTGAACCAATGTGAGCGAGGGTGGGAAATGGAAACAGCTCCGTGTTGGTGGCTCTGACAACGCAGGAATCTGGTGCTGGTTCTGCTCTGAAGCTATTTCATGCGGAGAAACAAACATGTGTGATAAATTACCACAAAGAGCCTTTGAGAGATTGTTCCCTGCCCTGTTTTCCTCTCAAAGAATCACAGCTGCTTTGCTCCTCACCCTTGAGTCGGAGCAGGGGAGCATCTCTGTGTAGGGAGTATTTTCTGCTTGGAGATCGTAGGAAAACTTAGGGCTCTGAGGTCTTTTTTGTTGGAGAACGGGAACAGGAATTTCCATCTGCTTTGGACAAAGAGGGCAGCTTGAGGCTTTCCTGGATAACATAGTCTTAGTGTCCAAATATACCCCTGGTAAGGAAAACAAAGCTTAGCTTGGACAAAACCACCGTTCCCCTATAGTCTGGTTCTCAACCGCTTGACTCCTTCCTCTGTTCTTGCAAACAGCCCTTGCAAGGAGAGGGGAACTGGGTTTGGTAATACTGCTGTGGTATCTTGTGTAGGGGTTGTCTTCAGGCAAAAATGGATGAAATTGCTTAAAAAAAAGAGAAGATTTAAGGTCTTAAATTCATTATAGGACAGATGAGAAAATAATCCACAAGAAGGAAGTGTTCTATCAGTTTAGGATTGCGTGCCTGTAATAAGGGTATGGCAAAATGAAGTCACTGTCTTTTGGACAGGGCATGAAGTTAATAATACATTGAGTATCACTGACCTTTAAACAGGAGGAGTTTGTGTTTCTGTCATGGTGGGGTTGGGGTGGTTGCAGCAGAACGGGCAGAAGGTGGAGGAGGAATCCCTTCTGGCTGCGGGATAGGATCAGAATGAGGGGCAGGAAAACAAAGAGGCCCCTTGCTCTGTGGCTTGGTTTTCCCCATACTTGCTGCTATGAAGACAGCATGAGAAAATGGCTTAGCATTTACTAGCTGGTTTACTAGCTGTTTTTCTGTCTAGGGATGGACGACTTGTTCCTTTTGCTTCCCCTCTCCTCCTCCAGATAGGCTCAGGTTTCTTTTCCTCCCAAGTGCTCAGTGTTGGCAGTTTCCCCTCAGATTGGGTTGGATAAGACCTTCAATCTCCAATGTCCTTTTTGTGTCATCTGGCTGCTTGCTTGGTGCCAAATAGGATTTGGGGAATCTTTAGCGTTTCTAAGACTCCTGTTCTAGCACACTTGGGATTTGCTGGGTATCACTGCTTGCTTTAATACCCATCCATGTCTGCGGTGACCCTCGGAGCAGGAGGATCCACCTGGGAGCTGTGGGGTTGGAAAAGGGCTTTTTGTGATCTCTGGGGAAAACCAGCCCGAGCCAAGCAGCAGCTGTGTTTGTGGAGCTCCTGCTCCCAGCTGCCTGCTGTTTACTGTCATTGCTGGAGACTGCTTTAGGTTGGGGGTATTTGGCGTTCAACCAGTGCCCTGCCCTGGTGACAGCCACCGGTCCTTCCGTAACCCGCAGCTCTTGTGCTCTGCAGATGCTGTTTTCTGGGCTGTTGTATTTAGGCCACTGCTTCCAAGGAGAGCTTTTTTGGTGCCTGGTAACAGACCTTTGGATCCTTCGTTGTTTCCTGCCTGCAGCTCCTGAAAGCAGCCTGTTGGCAGCAATCCCGCATGCAGGCAGCCGGGGCTGGGTGTGGGGATGGATGCTCTCTGCAGAGCAGTGCAGTGCTGTGCTTTCTGCCTCTGCTCGGGGTTCATCACCAGCATCATTGGTGCCGCTCCCTGACCGGGGGTTATGTGAGGACCTGGAGACTGCACTGCATAGGCAGCTCTGCAGTGAGACAGAGGGATGATAAACAGATGGATCCTCCAGTGTTCCTGCGCAGGAATACTTGCGTTGTAAACACGCTGGCCCTGCCGTGACACAAGCCAGATTGACTTGCCTTATATGCTGCTCCTGGGAAAGATGGATTTGTTTTCCAGCAGGGGAAGGGGAATGTGATGACAGCGTTTGCTTGCTCAGGCTCCATCTGATATTCTCGGGATGATTTTTGCTCAGCAGCATCTCTAAACAGATAAAACGCTGGTTATGCCTTTAGTCCTAGAAGGCTCCTGCAGTGTCCTGCTTTGAAGGCCCTCTGAGGCTGACGTGGTAGCGATGCCCATGTGAATTTGGGGATGGAGTGACCCAAAAAAGGAGGTGGGAGGGGATTGTGCTGTCATCCTGCAGCAGAATCTCTCTGCGTTGACCAGCTTCAGGAGGGAGCAGCCAAGCTCTCAGCCTGCCACTTCAAAGCTTCTCCCTGCAATCTCCAGCTTGCAGGCCAGCATGAGTGATGGAAGCTGCTTAAATTACGGTGGTTTGGGAAAATGGGGAGGTCATCCTTTCCCAGGAGGGTGGGATGGTCTTTGTGCTCTGCTTGTTCCACTCTGCTTTTGGGTCCTGAGTGGAAGCAGGAGCTGGAGAGCCAGCCTGGGAGTGCTTTTGGTGTTGAGGTGGCAGAATTGGATGCTGTGGGCTGCTTCTAGCCGTGCCTACAGAGAGCTTTGCTTTCCCAATAGATCCTTGCAGAACCAGCCTGGTCTGCTCTCAGCAATGCCATCATACCTGGTAGGAGCCCAGGCACTGAAGTGGGGAGGTGGCAGGAACATGAGGTGCTATTGCCTGCTGCTTGATGCAGAGTTCAGCAGCTTCATATCTGCACCAGGCAATAAAGCCTTGGATATTGTGTTTGTGATTGCCTTCCTGCACCTCCCTCCTAGATAGTGTGCTTGGGCATGCAGCTGATGCAGAAATAACCAGCTTTAGCCCCTCTCCACAAGAGTTTCCTTTCATAGAAGGAGACAGCAACCTAGCTTGCCATGGAAAGTCAAACAGCAACACGGTTCGTGTTTGTCTCTGCTCCTTCTTGTTGCAACAGGAACTTTCTGGTTTACTGCAAAGCTTTGGGTGCATAAACCAACCTGGCATCTCAAGGTGTTGCAGGGTGTGTTGAAGGCTGTGCAGCCATCACAGCCCTGTGTCTAATAGCTCTTGGCTGTAAAGAGGGTGATGTGTAAAAGAACCTGGCCAGGAAAGGTGGTGGAGGCTATGGATTCGGGGTAAGGAGCTCTTAAAGAAAGCACAAGGGCAGGAGCAAACACTCCTGTGCTAAAGGTAACGGGTGCAAAGTTGTGCTGCCCGTCTGGAAAGAAGCAGTGCCATTAAGCCCATAAATCTTGGACTGTCAATATTCCCTGATGCTGCAGGCATCAATGCAACCTGATGAGCTAAGTCATTCTTGAGTAAAACCGGCTGCTTCAGACTGTGGTATCCGGGAGTCTTAATCCTAAATGCCAGTATCTTCTCAAGAAAGCCTCCTTCCCTTCCCTGTTTCAGCCCATCTTTTCCTTCCCCAGCTGCCCAACATGTTTGGTGACCTCCGTTCCACGTTCATTGCCCTGATGATTGGCTCCTATGCTTCCTCTGCTGTGACTTTTCCAGGAATCAAGGTGAGGCTATGGGATAATGACTCGCAACCAGTGCTGTTTGCTGGCATCTTGCACCATTTAGCAATGATAGGGCAAGGGAAAAGGGACTGTCTGTTACACCACTTGGAGATGTGCATTTGCAAGACTCAGTTCCCTTCTGTGTTAGGGACTGCCCAAGTGGTGGCCTTAATAATGCAACAACTACTGCAAAGAGAAGGGTCTGTTCATAGACACTGGTACTACTATTACACTACCAATAGACAGTAGTGTTTTAAAGGTGGTAAATGAGTGACAAACTGAGCATCTTTTTTTATGAAAGATTGGGTTTTAATGCTTTAAGGAATGTATATATAGATGTATTTTTAATACCCATGTGTATTTAATCTGTGTGATTGTTAATGGTGGTTGGCTTTGAACACAGAGTGAGCAAACCGCACTGAAGGGACAGAGGAGATGGTCCCTTGGGCTGCCTTGGTGGAGCAATAGTGTCTTTGAACCAAGGTGTTTCATTGCAGAGTTAGCATAAAGGGGATATAGTACAGGTGAGCTGCAAGTGTGCAGGGAAGTTCTTGCTGGCTTTCCAAGGAGAAATGCATGTTATTCCAGCTATAGCTGCTGTTAAAGATGTGCATACATCTCTCTTTTTAAGCTGCATGTCACAAACCTACTTGAGTTAAACCCATTTTAAATGTAGGACGTTCTTCCCTACTGCTTCCTCTCAGTCCTCATTCAAAGACTATTGAAGTATCTTTCTGCTCTCATAGCCAAAACCATGTTCCCTTGTGATTTCCAGGTTATATACGACCTTGGGGTCTCCTTCATCCTCATTCTGCTGGTCTGGGCAAGCTGTGCAGGATTAGTGTTCCTCAACTGCTTCTTCAACTGGCCCCTGGAGCCTTTCCCAGGACCAGAAGACATGGACTATTCGTAAGTGTCCTCTAGACTGGCCTGGAGGGCTGATCCCATTCTTAATCCTCTAGGAAGTGCTCTCACAACTCATTTGGAGTGGTGGGCAAGGAATTCCCTTGCATGTTGAGGATTTACATCTGCTGTTAGCGTTATGTCTTGACTGGTGGGTATCTGTGGGAAGTGGAACTTCCCAAAGCACAGGAATTCTGAAGGAAAAATGATCTGTCAGTAGTCATAAGTATTTCTCTATTGACCTATGCCAAACTGGCCCTGGGGAAGTATCTCTGTGCTCTGGATCCAGACCATTTGTAGGCTTGTTGATGGAAACTAGCTCATTAAATCCACCCATAGCCTTTCATCCTGCAGCTTTAACTGCCTCTGACTCCTTGCCCTGGGTTGCAGCTCTCCTGCTCTTTGCTACCCAACAGGGTGAAAATCAAGTTCAGCTGGCTGGGATTTGACCACAAAATCACTGGGAAACAGTTCTACAAGCAAGTGACAACTGTGGGGCGCCGGCTCAGCGTGGGGAGCTCCATGAAGGGCCCCAAGGAGCCCACAGCCTTGCAGGAGAACAACAAGCTCTGCCTGTCCACGGTGGACCTGGAAGTGAAGTGCCAGCCTGACAATGCAGGTGTGGTTCTAGGAGTGGGATGCTTGTGTTGGCACAAGGCCTCTTGGCCTCTCTGTTGGCTCCGGACCTGTTTGTAAGAGATATATGTGATCTGTGCATTGCCAGGGCCATGTGCCAGCCACCAGTATTTAAACACAAGTTCAGCTGTATAGGGAATCCTGTTCTTATGTACTTGCCTAAATATATACCATATGGTGTTGCCAATGGTGGGGACAACAGTGTGGGTGACTGGTGTGGCTGCAGGACAGTGCATGGTCACTGCTGTTTCTAAGACTGCATCATGACCAAGCCCTTCCTTACGCAGTGGTATGGTAAAAGTAAATGGTTTGAAGCTTCCTTTTGCCTTCTTCAGAGACTCTGTTATTCCTTCTACAGCTTCTCCCTCCTTCATGAAGAGTGTCTTCAGTCCTATCTTGTTGCTCAGCCTTATCACCATGTGTGTCACTCAGCTGCGGCTCATCTTCTACATGGGAGCCATGAACACCATCCTTGAGTTTCTGTCTGGAGATAAAGATCAAGGTAAGGTGAACCTGAAAACATCGATCTGCTTCCTTGGAAGTGGGACCTGACCTGGACCTGGTCCTTACAAGAGGCCAGCAAGCCTGATTACTCAGCAGATACACTGTGTATAGCCATTAGTGGTGTCAGAGGGGGGCTGACAGCTGCTTGTAGGGTCTAGTGGAGGGCTGGAACTAGCCCAGGACAGCAGGGCAGGGAGGTAGACACTTGAATGTCAAGTTAATTTTAGCCCTGTGCCTGTTAAAACACTATTCCATGTTATTTCCCCAGATGGGCTGTTGAAAGCACCCTCTGGGGCTGCACTGTGATAATTGTTTTCATGGCAAAACCTATTTCATCAGGTGTTTGCCTTGGTTATCCTAAGCAAGCACAGAGGACGGCGTAGCTGACTCCAGTGACTAATGGTTGGACTTAGAGGTGTCTCAGCCCAGCAGCTGCTTGGTGGGGGGGGAGAAGTGAAGTCAGGGCTGTTTTGTGCAGCTTGTTGTGTGCTGGGGAGGCTCAGGGGCACTCATTGCCCTGGCCTTGTATTTATAGCTCTGAGTACATGGAGCAAACGGGAAGGAATACATTAGCTTGCTGTTGTTGAAAATACCCAGGATTGCAAAACAGGACTTAGCCTTCCCCCCCCCTCCCCTCCCCGTGTGTGTGTGTCCTTTGTAGTAAGATCCAGTTTGGACTTGTTAAATCTGGATTGCATAAAGCTGATAAATCAAGGGGCACGCCTCTGGAAAGAGGAGTGAGCTCTGGGGGAGGGACGGAAACTGGGGAACTCCAAGTGGCCTGGCATTGCCTGAATCGCTTTGTTTCTTGAGCCTTTGACAGCCTGCAGCATTCAGCTCTTTATCTCCTGGCTCATTTAGACATGAAACAGTCAACAGGACAAACTCCACGCCACCTGCCTTGCCCAACACTGCTTTGGTTTCTGCTTACCTTGGAACTCTTCCACCCAGATTCCTTCCTTTTCCCCCCCTTTTCCCCTGGCTTGCTTTAGTTATTTCTCTTTCATTTTCCCCCTCTCCTTCCCTCCTTGGTATTTTAGACTCGCATATGTGCTGCCAGTTCTCTTTAGATCAAGTTCCCATGTTAATCAAGGGATTGTCCCTTGGGTGTCTTGCGTTTGCTCTGTGCCACCTTTAAGCTTTCTTCCCGTTTTCCCTCTCCTCCCCCTGCATCAGCCTGGGCTCACAGTGCAGTCCAATGTCTTAGTGTTTCCATAGCATCAGCAAAACAGTGGTATTGTCTAGTCGCAGCAGCATCAGGCTCTGAGAGCAGTTCCAAGGCATGTGGAGCTCTCTGGACTGTAATCTGTGCGGATCAGGAGAGGGTGGGATGCTGCTCCCTTGCATTCCTTGTTCTTCTTCTTGCAGTTGTTTACTTGAACATGGGTTTGCTTAAAGAGCTCCCTCCACCTGCAACCGCTCTTGGTTGCATTCAGCAAGGGAAGAGGAGAGTTGAGTCAATCCTGCAAGTGTGATGGTCAAAGGAAACATCAATATTCCTGAGCAGGGGAGAAGGATGTAGGGAAAATCACTTGGGTCTTTTAAGCTGCAGTGGGGCACCATGCCCTTAAAGCAGTTATGGTGACTTAGACCATGTTGTAAAACCTAGACATGGACAGAGCAGTCAGCTTGTGGCTACTTCTGCAAACCCCCCAAAGATGGGGGAGAAGCAAAGGAGTTTGGTGGCTTGACAGGCAGGAGAGGGTAGACCTAATGTCTAGGAGCTGAAATCTGGCTGCATCTTGACTGAATTGTCACCTTGCCTTCAAATCTGGTAATACTTGGAGACCTTGGGTAGAGTTAGGGAAGGTAAACTTGGTTGTATGAGGTGCTTGCTTAGGAGAACTTTGAGGGAAAGACATGTAGAACAGTGGATGTAAAGGGCCGTCCCCACGTGTGCACCCTTCATTTGCTCTAGGCAGGCTTCTGCTTCTGTGGTGGTATTTGCTAGGTATTGTTTGCTTTATTTCTCCTTAGGAAAAGATGTTTTTTAAGATGATAGACGAATGGAAGAGGCCCAGTTTTATAGGAGCTACTATCCTCTCTTTTTTGCTGATCCCATAGATTCCATTCCCTGCTTCACATTGGCTTCTGCCCTTGCTGTGCAGAGCCCAAGATGAAGTGTTCAGAATGGCATGAAGAGGCAAAGCATAGCTTGCTTCTTACCCTCTATTAAAAAATAACCAGACAAGAGCAAACCAGCTCCAGGAGTGTTGGTAGAGGGTGATGCCACCTGCCTCTCCTGGCTATAGCAGTTGCTATAATGAGATGGGGATATGGGGCCACTTCAGGCCTTGCCTTTGAGGAGGTAATGGGGGCATGAATGCGAAGCTGGAGTTGGAAGTGCCTCTGGGTTCTTGTGCCAGGAACTGGAGCCAGGAAAGTCTCATCAGGTGCCCTGCTGGGGTGTGCTGCAGCAGCTTAAGAGCAAGGCTTATTGGAAACTTCTCTCCATGACTGAGATAACTCTGGTGTAAATCCTGGCTCCAGTTCTTTGGGTAGGTCTGGCAATGCACTGGGAGGGACAAGCTGACATTCTTGGTTGTTTTTCTCAGCGCTGTAGCTGCTGAACGCTCTGTGCTGAGGTGGGCAGTTTCAGAATCCTTCCTCCAGAGCTGTGGTACACCAGTGACTCACCACGCTGCTGTGTGATGCCCAAACCCATCACGTGGGCTGCGGAGAGGAAGTGGAAACAGCGCTGCAGCATGGGGGAACTGGTCACTAACGGGAGGGGATGGTTTCTTCTGAGTCTGCTGGCATCAGCTTTCCCTTTGCAAGCTGTGTAGATGCTTCTCCCACCTTTAACACAAGGGGAGTTATCATCAGTTTGAGTTTTTAATGGTGCTGTGGGTTTTTTTGCTGCTAATCTCTCCTCTGCCTCCAAACTTGCCCATTCAGCACCAAATGGGTTAGTCCTCACCTCCCTGGCCTGGCTTGTCCTTGCTGGAGCTTCCTGGCTGTAGAAGATGTAACTGCAGCTCCCAGCGAGGCAGGAGAGGGATGACTAATGCAGGGTTGGCTGTGCAGGATGTGTTGGCTTGTAAGAACTTTCCCTTTTGGTTTGAACCAGCATAAACCTCACTGGCATTAAACAGTAGCTGCATCCCGTTTCTGGAGCCCTACCTGCTGTTGGGCTGATGCAGGCTCACTAGAAAGGTTGAAGCAAGTGTGTCTGGTACGTCCACTCTAATGTCACGCCTCTGGGAGCCTAAATGATGGAATGGGGCTTTGGTACCTCGTCTCCTTAAGCCCTTGCCTGGTAGTTGGTGAGTAGATTGGGTCTGGGCTCTTAATAAGAGGTGATCTGTAGGGAGGAGCAGTTTCTTTTCTCTTGCTGCTATGGTATCACTTGGACTGACAACTCCTTAAATCTCTCTTCTTTTCCCTGCAGTGGCTCTCTACACTTCCATCTTTGGGGTACTGCAACTGCTGTGCCTGCTGACAGCACCTGTGATCGGCTACATCATGGACTGGAGGCTGAAAGAGTGCGATGATGGCTCCGAAGAGACTGAGGAGAGCAACGCTGAGCAGTGCGTAGTGTGCGGCACACGGGACACGCAGCCGCGTAGCAGTTCCCCCTCTGCTCTGCATAATGTGTGTTGTGATGAAGGACTGGAAAGGATGTTGGTTCTTCAGGATAGAAAGCAAGCCTGAAGGAAGACTTGATAATTGCAGAGGAAAGGACCAGACTGCCCTCCATGTCCACTGAGATCAGTCAAGAAGAGCAGACGTAACTCATAGCAAGGGGAGGTTCAGACTTCCCTTCTAGCCCAACAGTAAGAGTAACAGCACTGAAACAATTGCCTAGATGTTCCTCAGCTTCCACTGATGGAGACCCCACCACCTCCTTAGGCAGACCTGTAGCCAAACCCTTTTAGATAGAGTTGATGGGATACGTGGAGAATCTTGCTGTGAGTTCCAGTAGCTGCTGAGCATGCTTTTTGTAACGTGGGTTTTGCTGTCCTTCCAGAAGTGACAAGAAAAAGAAGAAGCGCGACCGTCAGATCCAGAAAATCACCAACGCCACCAATGCCTTTGCGTTCACAAACGTCCTCCTGGTTGGATTTGGAATCACCTGTCTTATTCCCAACCTACCCCTGCAGGTGAATAGGCCAAACGGATGGGGGTGATGGAGGGGCTGGTGTGTGTGTGTGTGTCCTGGGACAGTGACAGGAGGTCCTGTGAGCCAGCAGAACCAGCTAGGGGCAGGAGGGCTTGAAGACTTCTGTACTTCTTGGGGAACCCCAGTGTTAAGAGTTGAACCAAGCAGTCCCATGGAGCTTACATCCCTTGAGGGAGCCGAAAGAAGCAGCTGTAGTTAAAATGTCAGAGTTGGTGCAGCGTTTATTCACACTCAAGCTGTGTAACCACAAATACTTCCCTACCACGATCCTCCCAGCAGCGTGGGTGCATTTAACCAGGGCTCGGTATAAGCTGCTCATGGTCAGAAAGCTTGCAGAAGCATGACACTGATCTATCCAGCAGGTTCTTCCTGCATCAGATGCTGTGCTTAGTGGTACCCGTGGGGCTATAAACCTGTAAGAATATTTACTTTGTGGCACCATCTGGTTTTAGGGATTTGATGTTATCCTTCTACGTGCCTTTATGATGCAGGCAAACAGCCAGTTTGTTCATACCTACGTGTTGTCTGCAATAACTTGTGGAAAATTAACTAAACCATCCTTGAGAGCAAGCAGGAGGGATTGTGACACCAGCCATGGGTTGCTGGGCCATGTCCTTGCAGCAGTGATGTTACGAGTGAGATGGGTCTCGTGTGTGCTTAACCTCAGTGGGCGCTGCATCTTGGCCTTCCCCAAGTATGGAAAAGCAGAGCTTTTAGAGAGGAATAGAAACTTGTGGTCCTGATATTTGAGGTTTGGTTCTGGGTTCCTCGAGCCCACCCTTGTGCTAGAAAGGAGAAGAGCTTTAGGAGTGTTACGCTGGGGTATGGTACAACCAGGTGGGATCTAGGATGTGACATCTTCCTGCTTCTCTTCCCGCTTCTCTTCCCAGATTCTTTCCTTCATTTTGCACACCATCGTGAGAGGATTCATCCACTCGGCTGTGGGAGGCCTCTATGCAGCTGTGTAAGTCTCTGCTTGTCTACAATGCATGGCTGGCCAGGTAAACTGGTTTGGGATGATAAGCTGCTCACATGAGAGGGGGATCAGGATGTGAAGTCTTTGTGGTCAGAGGGGAGAAATGATGCAACTTGTGTCCTCAGTTACCACTGGCTATGATAATAGTTGGACCCAAGTCCTAGCTGATGTTTTCCTTGTTCAGAAACAGCTAATCCCTTTGGCACAGCTCCTGCAATGAGACAGGAACAGCTGTAAATGGGCCTTGGGTATGACACCACGCTGTTGACACTAAGGTTATATAGTAAAAACTCCAAGGCTTTTTTTGTCTTATAATGAGTAGCTACGTGTCTGGGTAAAACATTAACATAATACATTGCTACTGGTCTGCTCTGAAATCACACAGGTAAAGCATTGCTCAAGATCCCATTAGTGATGCCTACTCCCTTTCCCAGGCCATCATCCATCCTGTTTCCAATGCACCAAACTATCAATAGCTGAATCTAAGTACTCTCTTCCTTATGAAGCAATGGGTTTGGGTTTGGGAATAGATCTGCCCCTCTGTCCTGAGGAACAGAAAGAAGCTGTTATCCTTCAGATACTGTTGAGGTGGGAAGGGACCTTTTGAGACCACTCAGTCCAACCCTTATGCCCAAGCAGGGTCAGCAACAGCACATTGCCAAGGACTGTGTCAATTGGGTTTTGAATAGCTTTGTGGATAGAGGCTCCACAGATTCCTTCTGTCAAGGGTTTTAGTCCCAGTGTCCAAGGAATCCAGACTAGAAAACCAGCCTAAACGCTGCTTTAAAAACACATATGATTTTGGTTCCCTGGCAGCTAGAAGTGTCTTTGTCTTGGGCAAGATAACTGCTTGTTGCTGTAGGTACAGTCTTGCTTCTCCACTAATCCTGTTTGACTGTTGCAACTCTGGAACTTCCTGGACTGAGGCATTTTTGCTTTGAGAGTGACCTCTTTGAATATTGCAAGGTTTGGACCCACTTCTTTCTTTCCAAGCTTAGTTTAACCTGACCCTTTTTAAACACTGCTCAGTCACGGATAGAGAAGGATGTTAGGCTGTCCCTGAACTCTGTTTTTCCATGAGCAGTGTCTGATACTCAGCACTTCCCAATCAACAGTGTTGTTTAGTTTGACTTAGGACCAGACTTGTCCTCTAAAAAGGAAAACACACACCAACCTGTTGTGCAGGTTTCACTCACTTCTACAGGGAGCAAATTGTTATGACCAGATGACAGTGATTGCTCAGCCACAAATGCAATCATCTGGATAAAGAGGCCCTGCTTTTAGCTTGTAAATGTCAACACTCTTGTCCCTTTGCAATAGCAACAGGAGTTGTATAAGCACTTCCACCTGCCTGCAGTACAGCTGGGGAACAAAACAAGTGCTAGATCTGATGTTACTTAAGTTTGAGAGCTCAGGATTAGAACAGTCTGGAGAGAAAGGCACTGTGCACACCATGGGGTACAGCTACATGCTCTATACAAAGAGGTAGCTATACATAAGTCCAGGGGAGAGAAGTTCTTCGTAATACACATGTCTGGGGTGTGTGTTGTGTTGTGGGAGTTAACTGGGAATGTAATCTGAGCGGGGTGATGTGAACAGTCAAGGTGACGTATAATAATGCTGCTTTCTCTGTTGACAGATACCCCTCTACCCAGTTTGGCAGCTTGACAGGGTTGCAGTCGTTGATCAGTGCCCTCTTTGCCCTTCTGCAGCAGCCTCTTTTCATGGCACTGACGGGACCTTTGGAAGGAGACCCTCTCTGGGCAAGTTCTTCTCAAACTTAATGTCAAAGCTTAGTGTTTAAGATGATTTGGGCTCACTTTGTTGGAAACAAAAGGACTCCTGTGCATGGACCAAGGTTAAAACCAGCTGGGGTTTTAGTCTGCTGTTACCTTGCTGCTGTCCAAGAGACTTCCCTGTGTGTGGGTAATGATTCCCTGGGAGGGAAGCCGTTAACCCTTATGCTGGTGGTATAGAAAGGGAGTGAGAAGGCTGCAGGAGTGCTTTGTGCTAACAGTTTGTGTGGCAAGTCAAAACCTGTCAAGTAAAAGTGAGTGAATCTGTGTGGACCTTAGTGCCATAGAAATACCCTTTCCCTTGTGAGCTATTACCTCTGATTACCAGGAAATTTGGGGTTGCTGATGCTAATGTCTGAAAAGCCAAGTGACTGTTGAGGGTAGGGCTAATACTCTGTCTTGATGAGAGCCTGTCTGGGCAGCTCAATAAAATCATGGCATGGGGAGGGTCTTGTAGCCTAGAAACCAGGACTCTCCCCACTGTGCCCACCCCAGTAGGCTGTTGCTGCCCGTTTTGTGGAGCAAAACCATTGCAGCCATGATCCAGAGCCTCCAACCCTTGCAGCATTTAGCTCCTACACGTGGTGCTCTGGGCACAGCAGTGCAAATGTAATCCTGTGGAGGCTGTTGTCAATACACTGAGCAGGGCGGCTCCCGGTTTGCCTGCAGCTGAGTGATGTGGGCTGGGTTCTGACACTGTGGCACGTGTGACTGGGTTGTCTTCATAGCCTGCCTGAGTGTGTTTTGTCTTCCTTCCTTGCAGGTGAATGTCGGCTTGCTTGCTGTGAGCTTCTTGGGTTTCTGCCTTCCAATCTACCTGGTGTGCTACAGGCGCAGGCTAGAGAGGGAAAAAAAGCAGAAGATGGAGGATGCCAAACTCTTCTTCAAAATCAACGGCACTCCCAATGAGGAAGCCTTTGTTTAAACTCTTGCTTCAAGTACAACCTCCCCTGTACAGGTTCCTACCACATCCGTGGGTTCTACCTGTGGTGTAAGCCAGGCTGTTTCTCCCCTGGCTCTGCCAGTCTTTGCCCATCGCTGGAGTGAGGGCCGGACATCATGACTGTGCTTTCCTCAGACACGTGGCAGGAGGAGACTTCCCACTCCTTATTCCAGAACATGGGTCTCTTTCCCTTTCTATAAAGGCCACTCAGATATTGTGTCTTAAACTATCCCCTGATCACACTCTCCAGTGGCAGAGCCCCTGCATAGGAAACTTGGGAGAGAAGGAACAGAGGGATGGGGGAAGAGGGAAGAAAGACCCGAACTTGAGTTTGCAAAGGTAACACACTGAAGTCTGTTTTCTCCTCCTCTTCCCCCAACCTTGGCTGTGGCGTTGTCTCAGATGCAAGCTGCACGTTCCTCCCTCCCTGAGGCTTCATAGTGGTCTCTCTGCTTGATATGTAGTTGGACCCAGTGGTTTTATTGCCTATCCAGACATACCCTGGACTGTTCCTGAGGCAGGGAAGGGGATTTTATTCCTACGTGTATGAGCACAGCTTCAGTGTATTGCTAAATGTTGGCTGCTAGCACTGACAGCTCCCAAACCTTTTATTACTGCAAATGACACAGACTTGTGAGCAATGGATCTGCCTTCCACACTGAAGAGCCTAGCGTACTGCTTGGTCGTAGATCAAGCTTTCAAAGGCCTGGAACAACTCGTCTTCCTGGCCCATAAACCACCTGTACGTGTTTTAAACTGTCTGCAGTCCTGGAACCTTTGAGATAGGAATTGGATCTCATTTACCGATGAAGTGCTTTGGGACTTGTTGCCTTTTGCCTCTTCTTCCTTCCACCGTGACGCTGGGAGGGGAGCAGCATGTACTAAAGGTGGAAGAGCTTGAAGCTGAGCTCTGGGGCTCCAAATACCTTGGTGTTCACATGTTGTGAGCTGACTTGCTGTTGGAAAGAGCCAACGAGTGCAGAACACTCCTTTGTGTGTGGTAACTGGATCCTGTGGACATGTGGGTGATGTGGTGAAGTAATTCTTCCTCCAGCCATAGCTTATTTACACCATTCTGGTAACAGCCCCCAAGCTGCTGAACACCAGGTTACTGCAACTGACCAAAAAGCTGCCGGTTTGGCTGTATTAAGAACCTTCTACAACGTCGATGCTCTGTCTGGACAGAGTACATGGTGATCGATTGTATGCTGAAGCTGACTTAGAGCAATACGTGTGGGTAAAGGTGCCCCCAGGTCTGTTCACCATGGAGGGAATATAAAGGGAATTTTTAACCTGCTTATTTTTATAGAGGTTTTCCTAAGTCTTGTCTAAGTTTGATTTTTCTGCCCTTAACCTTTCTGTTGAGGTTGGTAGCTCAGCTGCTATAGCATTGTGACTAGCATGAACCACTGCACCATCTGGACCTGCTCGGAGCAGGAAGGTGCAGTGTTGAGGGTGGATATGCAGTGGACATGCAGCACCAAATGCACTGGGCTGAGCTAGTGGCTGTGGGAGGGTTGGGAGCAGAAACCAAACAGAAGATGCAGTGGTGGTGCTTTCTGAACTGCTGACCCCTGTGGTACTGCAAAGCCTGGCAGGGGTTAAGTCATTTAACTGCTTTATGTCTGGTTGGAAAAGTCCAAGAGTCAATCACTGCCCTGGTAGTGCTGGGGACTGGAAACAACAGCACGCTCGGATCTTCCTTTGGGAAATCGCCTGGAAACTGGGTGTTAACCCCTTTACAGAAGGCTTGGAGCATGCAGAGGCTCAGCCCAGCCAGGTCTTCACCCTTCCTACAGAAGGCTGGTGACCTCATGGGCAGGACGGCTGGAAACCCTGCCAGCAGAGGAGGAGGAGGAGGAGGAGGCAGCTTTGTGGGGCAGCAGCGCCATCTCCAGCCAGGCTCCTGCGGGCAGTTCAGACGCTTCCCTCTTGGTCTGCAGTCACTCCTTTGGAAATAGCTCACCACTTGAGTATTTTACACGTTTGTGGGGTTTTTTTTAATGTGTTGCCTTTATTAAATGTGTTTGTTCCAAGACAGCCTTGCTGCCTGCTGACAACACTTCACTCTTGTCCAACATCTTGTCTTCTGTTGACCTCTAGCTTTGGTATGAGTTAGCCACTGTCCCAGCTTTCCTATCTTTTGTGTCAAGCAATAACGAAGGAGGCAGAGTCTTGATTCATTTTCCTGTTCGCCTGGCATCGTCTCAAGTACGTGTTTTGGAGACCACCAGCTTGCCTAGATTTCCAGAGGGCTTTCTATGGATTTCTGCGTTTCATATTATATACTCCTAAATATTGTGAAGATTCCAACTTGTGCTCTGATTGTGACGTGACAATAATGGGTTAAACGTAACTTATTTATTCCTTTTATCAGTGAGAGCTCAGACAGGTGAGTGTCCTCAGACCGGCAGTGTCTTAAAACAGATGGTTGTTGGTGTGCTGACTCAGCATTACTTCCACCTCACATTCAGAACATCATAACGTGGTAGCTTCCACTCTTTGGCCACTTGAGTTCCCATTAGAAATATCTCTGCAAAATGGGGGAATAGTGGCATGTTTTCAGGAAGTCATGGGAGAGATGCTGCTGCTTGTGAAGTATGTGCAGCTAAATTAAACATCACCGTTTTACTTCTGCCATCTACCTCCCTACTGCAGTTCCCAGTTCCTGCTTTTTATGTGGAATAGCTTCTAAGCCAGTTTCATCTGATAAAATGGTGGATGTATATGCTTAGCATCCCTGCTGATGGGCTGTGGTGTTTAGAAGCTGCTGGTCAGCTGTGAGGAACAGAACCTCACTCCTTTTTGAGCTGGAGTTTCAGGCTCTGTTTGCAGATGGAGAGTAAAGTGTGCCTTCAGCTGGCAGTCACCAGGAATAGTGGGTACACAAGGAGATTGTGGGATGAGAAGTATTTAGGTGAAATACTGGGAAAGAAGCTCTTCCCTGTGAGGGTGCTGAGGCGCTGGCACAGGGTGCCCAGAGAAGCTGTGGCTGCTCCATCCCTGGCAGTGTTCAAGGCCAGGCTGGACACAGGGGCTTGGAGCAAGCTGCTCTAGTGGAAGGTGTCCCTGCCCATGGCAGGGGGATTGGAACTGGATGAGCTTTAAGGTCCCTTCAACCCAAACTATTCTGTGAGTCAGTTTTCCACCATGGGGCTGGTTAAAAGTGGTCTGATATATCTGTTAACTCAGGGAGACTTTTAGTTGCTGTATATAAGAAAGTTATGCCAAGGAAAAATTCTTTTTCTGTGTGCTCTGTCTCTTAAGAATTGGTCAAAGATGGAGAAAATAAATGCTGGGCTAGGTGAAAAACTGGTCTGATGTAGTGGGATTTCATTTACTCTGACAATTGTGAACCAAGCTACTTTTAAAGAGCAGTCCCACATTTATCTATCAAAAACCTGGATCTGTGTGCAGGGTGTGCAAATACTCCACCAACTGTGGCACAACTGCTTAAATACTGTACCTCCTGCAGGGTGGGCCCATTGGAGGACAGAGTATTGTGGCTTCAGCCTCTTCTATGTGTTGTTTTGCATGGTGCAGAAGTGAACGCTGTTGGGATAGTTCTGTTACACGTGGTTATTCATGGGCAGCCTGCCTTGATCTTTGGCTGTTATGGAAATGTAATTGTGGATTACTGGAGTTTGGAGTGGAAAACAGCACTGCTGCTTTCTTAGCCAAGTGATGTGGGACCAAGATGATTCCTTATGTGCTTTTCTATGTGGCATGAGCCACCTTGTGGAAAAAAAGATTAATGGGCCACCAGAGTGTGATGATGGAAAAGCCCTTGTCTCCTCTGTAGCAGTATCCCCAGCTAGAGGTAATGAAGCAGAAACCTGGTATGTGAGTACTTGCTCACAGAAGGAGCCCTCAGACTCAAAGAGTGTTGCTGTGTAAAGGTGATTGCACCTCTGGAAACACTGCTCCTGGCCTCTACAGACTTTAAATGTGTGTAATATGTATCTGTACTTAAAGCAAATAAACAAAGAATTAAACTGAGTGGGGAAGGCAGGGTGACAGCTTATTCCTTTCACTAATCTGTCAGTACCATTGACACTGTCTTCATAGCAGCGATGCTGTCAAGAGTAGCAGAGAAAATCTGTGCTGTTCTGTTTAATAGGGCACTTACAGCTTTATTCAATTACTGACACAGAGTCAGGACCCGTGAGATGAAACTGGACACAGATGTCTGCAAAAACACAAAAGAGGCAAATCTTGCTGAGACTCCAGCTTCACTGCAATGCTGCTACGCGCACTGAATGCTTGACTCCCACAGCAAAGCCTGGCCTCTTCATGCTCCGTCTACAAAGGACAACTGTAGGATAACGAGATTTTAAGTCAGTCAGTAAATCACTAACATGTTTTAAAGTGGGAGATTTCCTTCTTGACAGGCTGCTAATTTGGAAAATATGCCACAACTATAAAGCAGATACTGTAGGGTAAAAAGAATGAAATATTTAAAATGACAAGTGTTGAGGTTTTTGTTTGTTGGGTTGGTTTGGTTTTCTTTGAGTCTTTTCTATTATCTGCAGAGCTTTTGGTATTCCCCACTTCCCAGTTTAGAAGTGCAAAGTACTCATAACAGAAATAAGTATTAGAGCAGGATTCCTGATGGGAAAGGGGCTGCTTCCTTAAAATAAAAAGCCACTTGGGATTTATATGTCACCAGGTTCTCTTCTGTGGACTGGCTGAAATAATGCTGTGTTATGTAGCTGCATTCTTACCTGTTAATTATAAACCCTACAGGTCCTTGTTTTTCTGCCTGTCTCTGTGCAATCTGTTTTTATCATGTCCTGTGCTCAAGTTGTCATCCTTCCCACTGCTGCTTGCCACTTCCTTGTGCCTGTCACTTTTCATTCTTGGCCCAATCCCCTTCTAAAGGAAGCCCTCTCTTTTTAACCTGCCAGCTTTAGCCTCTCCCAATGCCTCCTGCTCCCTGGATCGATGTGCTGTTTGTCAAAGTTGAACTGTAAGCTCCTCGTGGCAGGCTTGTGTCATCCTCTCTGTGTGTGTAAGGTGATGTGCACTCTTGCAGTAATATCTACAAATAAAGGTGGTATTAAGTTAATCACTAGTTTTCCTGTAATAAAGGTATTGCTTGGTTCTTAATGAGGCTATGGAAGCATGAATGGTGTCATCTGCCCAGTGGCATGAGACATGTTGAGTGTTGCCCTTGACTGTTCTCAGGTTAGGTGTGAACAGCCAAATGTCAACTAATCTCTCTTAGAAAAGTAATCTCTTAAATATATAGTTAAGTAATGCACACGGCAAGTTGAGAAAGAGCTCAAGCTCCGTTCCACAGCGTGAATAGGTATCAAAACAGTGAAAGAGGAGCAATGCTACGGGAGAGATGCAGGAAAGCCACACACCTCAGTTATCCACACTGGATGGATAGCATAAAGAGAAGCCTTGCCCTGTGATTTCAGTAACAAAAGTAATAAAGCTAGGGCTTGTTGTTTTTTATTGAGCGCAGGCCCTGTAAAAGGGTTTTTGCAGTTGTCATAACTAGCTGGGGTTACTCTTGATGCCAAGTACAGCAGGGCTGGCTGCTGCTTGGGAGTAGTCATGAAAATGGGTGAGGCCTTGAAAACGCTGTGAGTCGTGATCTGGTGCCAAGGTGGAGCCTTGGTGCTGGAATTCTTCATGGAACCATAGAGTAGTCTGGGTTGGAAAGGACCTTGTACCTCATCTAGTCCAATCCCTCCGTCTTCAACCAGACCACGTTGCCATGTCCAGCCTGGCCTTGAATGGCTCCTGGGCAACCTGTGCCAGTGTTTCAGCACCCTCACTATAAAGCGTTTTTTCCTCACATCCAGCCTGAATCTCTCCTGTTTTAGTTTAAAACCACCACCCCTTATCAAAAAGGCCTGTCTAAAGGCTCTCACCATTTTATAAGACCCTTTTAAGTACTGAAAGGCCGCAATAAACAGGGAGGAGTGGGATTAGATTGTTCCTGTGAGGGTGCTGAGGCGCTGGCACAGGGTGCCCAGAGAAGCTGTGGCTGCCCCATCCCTGGCAGTGCTCAAGGCCAGGTTGGACACAGGGGCTTGGAGCAAGCTGCTCCAGTGGGAGGTGTCCCTGCCTGTGCCAGGGGTTGGAGCTGGATGAGCCTTAAGGTCCCTTCAACCCAAACCATTCCATGCCTCTGGCAGATTTCCTCAGTTGAACACCCCCAGCTCTCACCCTCACAGAGAAGCACTCCATTTTTACTGTCCTTTGAAGAGATCCATGTCCTTCCTCTACTGAATTTACACCCCTCTGACTGCAGCCCTGACTCATCCCCTAGCTATGCCCGTTAATAACTAACTCATTTGCCAGCCCTTCGACACGAGGTGCTTTATCCCGTGTCCCCCAACCACTGTGTGTTTTATGGGAGGCAGCTCCGCTCCTGAGATAAACACCCGCCGTCCTCCCACGCACGCCGTGACGTAAGCACGCCTGCGTGGCGCCGTGACGCAGCCGTTGCCGCAGTAACGCCCCGCCTCTCCTCCCGCCGCCTCAGGCTCCCCCCTTCCCTCACCCCCCTCCCCTTCGCCCCGTCCCGGTGCGGCGCGGCCCGGCCCAGCCCAGCCCAGCGGAGCGGCCCGCAGGCGCCTGTCACCTCCAGCGGGGCCGGCCCGTGTGGCTCCGCCATGGTGCTCATCAAGGAATAGTGAGTGTGGGGAGCTTCTGCCTTCACCCCGGTCCCCTTCACCAACCTCTGCCTGTGCACCCCCCCTTCACCGGGCCTGCCGCGGGGACCGGCCGTGGGGGGCCTGGCCCTGCGCTGCGGCCGAGGGCCGGGGAGGGAGTCAGGAAAGGGGGTGTGGGGGGGGGAGCGCTGCGTGAGGGCCGCGGTGCCGGTGCGGGCGGGAGTGAAGGTCACGGCGGGGAAGGGGCCCAGCGGCACCTCCGCTTGGCGAGCACCGGCCTCCGGCTTCCCCCCCCCCCCCCTCCCGCCTCTGCGCATCGCTGCGGCTGCGCTCCGGTGCATGGCTGGGGTCGGGTCGTGCCCCCCGTGGCCTCCCGGCCCTTCGTCCTCCGCAATGAGGGGGGGTCTCGGTGCCAAGGGCCTTGCTGGGCTCGTACCCCAGGTGGGATCGGTGCACGGTGGGTGCTGTGCGAGGCAGCGGCATCGTGCCCCTTTCTCCTTGTCACAGGGGGAAGTGGCCAGGCGGGTTTTGACCCCCCTCGTTTCCTTTAGCTGTGTGATTTCTAACTAGAGCCCCCAGTAAGAGTGAATGTGGCAGAAATAAGATAGATCCAATGTGGAAGCCTCACCTTGGAGTTCTTTGCTGTCCCTGAGGCTGCTGAGGTTGTTGTGGGGTGGAAAACAGGCTGGAGGATCTGTTGTGGGGGAATGTGTAACTGCTGGTCGCATTGCTCTGTGCAGTCTTTGGTTCATCCTTGCTAACGTGGTGTACTCCTTTGGACCTGTGCACTTTGGCTCTGTGTCCTCAGCTCTGCATAGCCCTGCACATACTTCTGTCCTGAATTCTTAAGGTTAACTCAAGTGTGCTCTTAAGCGCATTCTATGCTTTTTTTTTCTTCTTTTTTTCCCTCACAGAAGATAGCTGTGATCCTGATGGTTAAATGGGTTTTCAGGTCTTCTTGGTGGCCTCTTTATAGCAATTTCTTTGCCAGATCATGGACCATGGTGTGGGTTTAAATGGTAGAACTGCATTGAGGGTTGTACTGAGCCTTGTAGTTGTCTTCAAACTTGATTAACTTCTTCTTTTCCCCGCCGTCCTTAAACTGTTTTTAGCCGACAATAGGGGTGAAGACTTGTAAGAGCAGCAGCAGAGCTGGTCTTTGTAACATATAGACACAGTTACCTTCTGCAGCGTTAAACGGGGTAGCAGGCAGACACCAGGGCTAAGCGCTTAGTTTCAGTTGCATGAAAAGATAATTAACTTGCTTGCATAACATCTGTTTTGTTGAGGTTTTCCTATGAATTTAGTTGGTTAATGTCAGCTTTCCTCTTATAACCCCCCTCTGGTTTCTTTCTGTTTGCATTCATGTATCTTTTCCATGCTTCTGCTTGCAGTCTCTTGCCCTGTACTGCAGTAAAGCTCACTTGCCAGTGAGATAAGCTCCCTACCGGGCATCTCATGAAGACAGGAGCAAACATACTTTGAATCTTCAGATTTCTGGGAGTATCAAAAGCTCATTTGGATGAGCATCACTTCCACAAGTCATTTTGATGATATTATTTACCTCAGCAAATCAACATACCTGCCTGGCTTTCACATCGCCTGTTCCAGAGCCAAAACGTGAAGTGCAGATTATCAGATTAAAGGTTAAAGGACCAGAATTCCTTATTTTTGCTTTATTTGTACAGGCTTCTATTTCTGTTTTCAAAAGAGTGACTAAACTTTTAAAGTCTTGTCATTAGTTATATTGTCCTGTTTGTTTTTTTCCCTTCTTTGTGCCTTTAAGGACACTCAAGGTTCCTGCTGTACTTCTAAAATGAGCGTTTATTTTTGACTTCTTGGGGTTCCCAACTGGTTGTAACAGCTGCATATTGAGTTATGCCACTGTGTTTGTTCTGATCTGAATCTTCCTTGATGTTGTATGTGGAAGTTGCCCATTTTACATGCTATTTGTGATGGTTTTTTACTAAATCTCATGTTCTAGGAAGCAGTTGTTAACAGCATATAAACCCCACTCTTTTTGGTGTGACCTGTCTAGTTGAAGGACTTTGCTGCTGTTGTTGGATTAGTTCAGGGTGGCCCAACACTGCATACAGGTACCTTAGCGTAGGTGGTAAAAATATAAGTGAACTGTAGCTGCATGTCATCTGAGCAGATCATTCTTCCATCTCTGAGACCACTTGTCACATCCTCCCTACGAAATCAAATGGGTTTTATGATGTGCTCCATAGGTATTGTAGGAGATGTTACAGAAATAGAGCAATGTAACAAAGACCTGATGTCACATCTTTTATTGTCAGTCAATCTGTATCCTCTTTTCTTGTACTGATGGTTATGCAGAGATAGCTTTTAACGTTTTTATCTGATGTCTTATCAGGCATCTTTCATTTCTACCTGTCCATGTTACAGGTAAGCTGCATGGGTTTTGTTCATTGGTTGGGTTTAGATTTTGTTGTAGTTCTAGGGTTTGTAGATGCTGCTTGTTCTCCTTATTGTGATTTCAGTTACATCAGAAGACCTTGAGGAGAATCAGAGTGTAAAGACTGACTTCCCTTTCCTGTGAAGTGACGATAATGACACTGACCTCCTCTGCAGCTGTACTTCCCTTTGCTGTCATTTGAGGCAGATTTTAATCTAGGAGGGAAGTTAAATGTTCTTCACCCATTTCAGGCCAACCACATCATATAATTTCTGATATGTTGATCTAGTTCTGTCCCCAAGTTAGGAGTCTTTGTTCCCATTGTGAAGCCTTTCTTCTGATTCCATCCTCTTGAGTAGTCTTCCCTCCTCTTCCTTTATCGTTTGGCTACCTGTAAGTGTTAGTCATCCCCTGCACTCTTGGTTTGCTAGGCTAAATGAATTGTAAACTGTTTGTCTTCCCTGTGTTTCTGTTTCTCTGTTCATGAACATTGACCTCTAGGATAACGTTCAGGTCTACTGTCTTCCAGAAATGCAATTTTATTACCTTACATCAATCATTTTATGCCAGTTAACTAACCTAATGTCATGCTTGATGGCATGGTCTACCTCTAGAAATCCATTTTCTTTTTTGTTCCCTATGTAAGGAATACCATACTGAAGTGGATCAAAGGCCCTCTTCCATCTTGCCTTCTAGCAGGTATTTTTAGGAAACAATATATAAATAGTGAGTAGAAGGATTGTTCAGTATATCCTACCAGTAAGTGACATAATGACTTCCATGAGCTGATCAAATCCCATCTTAAAATTGCTTATACTTCTTGTGTTTGGCAAGGAATCCTGCAACTTAGGTATTCATAATGGGAAGAAATACACCTCACTGGTCTTAAATTTGTTGCCTGATGGTTTTTATTCTTTCCTTCTACTGTAAGGCAAAGTCATTCTTCCTTCTTCATTCACTGTTTTCCCACTATTCATGACTCTTTAATGCTCTACCATCTCTTAACCCTTTAAGTGTTCTTCTTCTCAGTTGACAGGCCTTAATCTAACAGCTTTCTT